TTTGGAACGAGACCCCCTCGATGGTCCGTCGTGCCCCTGACGGTCCATCGTGGGATCCGTCGTCTCAGCCAGTTTTTCTAGAAATAAAATCTGCTGCTCAAAACGACTAAACAGGCCGTTACACATAAGGTCACAAATTCATATATGATTACATCGGCAGGGGGTCATTTTACAATATTATTAGTCACACTTGAATGTGTAGACCATACCTAACCGTAAAATAATGATTCACATACACTTGACTTTATTAATATAATTAGATCATGATACAAGAATTGAATGCTATAGAAAACATTCATTCATGTGATCATCATCACAACAAGTGACATTACATCTATTGCCTCCAAGGACATGACCACAACTTTTATAGATAGACAAGAATGTAAAAACTGTCATCATAAGTGGACTATATAACATCAGTTAGAGTACTATTAACTTGGAATTTAGGTTAACTTACCGATTCTCAAAGCTATGATAAGCATAGAACAATTCTAAACAATTAATATTCAATTGACGTAAATAGTGACATGAATAATACAAACAATACAATATAATTACTATTGAATCATTATCTAATCAAGATAGCAACACCCACATTATACCATAAATTCAGAGATTGAGGAGATCATAGGTTCTTCATGAAATTGCATTGAAAATTATCATTAGAAAATTAAACATTTATTCATCATTAGAATGACCTAGAAAATTGTTTGACAATGAACCGACTGCTAGATTGAAAAATATGAATTTTTACCTTAGAACCACACTGGAAATCTCTTATTGATCTCCATATATTTAACGTTAACTAAGGATCAAGGCTTACCATAACTCAACAGAAGATAATACCACAAATTTAAAGAAGAAACACATTAAAATTCATCTTCTTTCTTGATCATGAATTTTGCTTCCAATGGAGATTTGAGAAAATTTTAGAATAGAAGAGAGTTTTGGATTTTTGATTTCTTATTGGGTGTTGCTATTTTGCCTTAGTAATGGTGGTAAATATGACTTTAAAATGTTTTATAACAGACTCCCAATGTTCCCAAAACATCTTCATACTTATTTGGAATCTTAGAAGTGTCCAATTTGACATTAAAATGACACAACCGAATCAGGAACATGGATTCGCGTCACGGAGGAACCTCCAAATTTTGCTTCACTATTTATTTGAGGCACTGATACTCGTTACAGTTGCGTGACGTTGAGGAAGTTTGAGAGAAAGGTGTGTGACGCGGACAATAGGTTATGCCCGTTTCCTTGGCAGCACTTGGCCAACAATTTGGATCTTCCTCAAGGACCCTTAGGGTTGTCCTCGGGGAAATATCAAAACATTTTGACTGTTTACATGTTTTTTAAGACACTAGGGTCAACTCAACTATTTTTAGACTCAAAACAATGCATAAAAAAAGTAAACATACACGGACACACTAGCACACAAACGACTAGTTTCCGAACATCTTGGTCGTCCGTAGACGTTTGACCTAAAACCTCTTCAAACACATTATTACAAGATGTTATACACCTTATTTAAAGTAATTAACTCAGTAAACTCATGTGAGGATCTAGTTTATGCTAGATCATTTTGAGGGTCATGACATCATCTCCCACTTTAGAATATTCGTCCTAGAATGAAGTTTAACACTTAAATTCATTTTCAAGGACTCAATGACCCATATAGAAGCTTACAATATTCAACATTGCATCATATATTAGTCAATGCACAAAAAATAATAGTAACACCAACTTCATACCATCATGAACTCAATGCAACACAAGCAAGTAGAAACTTCATTCACTAACTGCTAATGCATCAAACACATAGGACTTTCTCATATCCATAGGAGTAACATCCTTCTTCCTATCATGACATGATCTTTGATTTTCGTGTCACCCAGAGCTCAATATGCAATAACATTTAAATAACACATATGCATGTTCATCCTTATCACTCAAGAGGGAAATAACTAAGCCATTTTAAATTCACATAAGTCATCACTAATGTAGATCAAAAAACTAATTATCATTTATATGTAATAACATCAAGGACATACATAATATCACCATGTTCAGTTATGTTAAAAGAGAAATCACCTACTCCTTAACATGTCACATGTCATCATAAAATTCATATACAAGCATTTCACAATGGTCATTTCATTGTTAAGAATATTTTATCCACTTCTAACAAAGGCATGCTCATGCTCCATTTCTCATGAAGTCAAAATGGAGGATCACACCAAACACATCACAACATTCAGATGTTATTTCACAAAAATTCAATTTTATGCCTTACACTAGTTTTCATAAAAATACATCATTAGGATAGTTGTTACCATTCATAGGGACACATAAATAATATTAGCTAGTTACAACATAACTTATCAAGAGTGACCCTATAGTAACACTTACCAAATCATAAATTTTCATATTTTTAAAGGGACTCATGTTTTCTATTTTAAATAAAACTAGCACCTCTTTGTGGGGAACGATACCGTCATATCAAAGTGTTATCAAGTGTGTTCATTAAAACATTTCATGAAGTCAAATGCACATTTATCATGCTAAGATGCACAACAACATGAGCAATATGCAATTTATCAAAAGCCCTTTTCCATGCGATATGATATTTTAAAATATTCACAACATAGTGTCATTTAAGAAATACATAACATACGAAGGACATGCAACTTATACTCATATTCAAGACTCTGTAACATGAACAAGATACTTTTGGTTTCAACATTTAGTAAGAACAGAAGGAAAAGATAAACATATAAACAGCCTTACTACTCAAATAATCATCCACCACATATGATAGGTTCATATGGCGACTTATCAACTATTCATATGAGTTCTCCCATTATCTAGCATACTTCACAATTACCTTACAAGGTAAACACACTACCTTCCCCACTTAGGGGCAAGCCTATACAAAATACTTCAATCCACATAAGGCTCACTATTGAGCATTACTCATATCAAAAGGGCAACATTCATTTTTCACTATTTAACACATTTAACCAAAACTTTTCAATCCTAAACCATAACATTATAGTATATATAGACATAACCATAAAGTAGTTCATTATTCTAAAGAGGAGTCTATTCAACATAACGACTCTTATCATACAACAATTATATCATAACATATTTTCTCCACATATAACCTTAATTATACTAGGTCACATACTAGGTCCATAAATGACATCACATCAAAATATTCCAAATTCACATTCACAAATACACATATATTAATAAAACCATAATAAGCATCAAAACTCACTTTTTCTCCTTTAAGCCTTGAGACATCATCCTATCCAAGAAATCACATCTAAAAGATCACCGGACAAGGAAATAAATATAGAGACCGTAGATATTTAAACCCTATGGCATGACACAAGTGTAATGAAGAAAGTGAAACTTCTATTGTCATATTGCCTCTCCCTAATAGATGTGTCGCGACTCACATCGATGAATAAGACTCTACTATACGTGGCATTATGAGACTTTTGACCCAAACACCACTTTAGATATACCTGGTGCTCGGATAACACATTTATCACGACTAGGGAGCACCCCTAGAAGTAACATGGCGTACTTGACCTCTCTAAAGTCTTATACAAGCCCATAGACATGATTCATCGCATTGTCATAGAAATTTTCAGTAAATTTAAAACTTTTCATAGAATAACATAGTGGTAGAACATCACATTATTATAAAATTATAAGTGCTTAATTCGACACTTTCTCTCGTTCTTCCAGTCTAGCCTTAACATTAATAGAATACAATAGGGACACGACCCTTAACAACATAAAAAAAATTATATACTATTATATGAACTTAAATAACATCTCTACGTGAAAGTCCTTGAATGATAAAGACACACCTGAACATTGGACTAACTATCCAAGCTCTTTATTCAAGGAAATATCCTCTAGCCATCACTAGCTATACTTTGTGGTAAGAAAAGGAAAAAGAATGGTGTTAATGAAAAGATGCACTAAGTATGATAACCACGGAAAAAGATGAGTTAAATAGTATGTATAGTTAGAAATCATGCATCATGGCTTTTAATAAAACATGATGAAAATTTTTACAAGAAGCATAACATAGTTCACATAAAATATATCGACAAGGATACTATTCACAAAAACACATAAAACCATATTTTACATTTTAGGCACATCAAACATATTCATAGAATTATATTTTACTTTACTTCTTCAACCAAAGAAACCCTTAATTATACTTAGTGAATTTTTTGAAGGGTGTCCCATTCTACCCTTCACTCCAAAGTATCACCTTAAGGTCACCAAGGTTCAAAGTAGTACAACCTTCATCATTTGAAGAATATACATTCATAAAGACATAAAATATCATGAAATACATACTTCACATAAGCACCAACATATTCATAGACTTCATAAAAGATTCATTCCTTTATAAAATCATGGTTATAACCCATTTAGACTTCATGCACATCTCAAGACAACATTCTAGTCAATACTACAAATACTATCATAATGAAGTAATAGATAACATTACATATACAAGGAGTTCATTTCGTCAACACCACAAGTAATGTCAATAACATGCATATTAAGTAAGGTATTCAACATGAAGACAATAAAGCCAATACTATGCATATCATTACTACATTTATGATAATACCTAATGTCATGCATAAGATACATATACATATACATATAGAATTTCTTCCTAGAATTCCCTTCAAGAGCTACTTGTGCAAATGTATAGGTAAAGTCCAATTCTCTCATGTACATTAAGAAACATCCCTTAGGTATTCCTCGTTAGAGTTGATAATCTTACCTCAATTTTTCATTTAACATTTGAGAAAATTTGCCTTAGCCGACATTGGACCATATGATCTAACCACAAAGTACTTGACCTCTGAGAGGTCTTGTACAAGACCTTTCACATCATTCATCGCATTCATGTATGAAAATTAGTGCGTAATTAAAACTTTTCACACAAAATATCTTAAAACATCTTTCATATTAAAATTATGGAAAAACTAAGTCTGAACATATGCCAATCTTAGACTCGAGAATACATGGGACACGACCCATACAATATTAATATAGAAATACATAGTCTATTACAATACTTTGAATTAAAAGTCATCAAAAGGTGGTTATGCCCTCGAGTCGAGTGAGGACATACTTCTACTTTGCTGGAATGATAACTAGATTCCAAGCTTTCCTTCAAGACGCTTCTAACTTTCCACATACACCTTGAAATATAACCAAATTTATGAAATTATTAAAAAAACTTCTATTAAGTATGGATTAAAGCATAAAATCAGGAGAACCATACATTTATTAACAACATGCCCTTTTGTATTAAAATATCATATTAATATTATAAGAACCACATTTAAGAACCAAATATCAAAAATATCAGCAAGCATACATCAAAATATATAGACATGATATCCTCCTAACAAAGGTTATTCTAAGTCTCACTTAAGTGTGTTATGAAGCGACCACACATAAAATCCCTTCACAGACACCTACGAGATCCTTTAGACTGCCTAAGATAAGATCATTCTCACTTGACATAATAGCTTATGCATATCGAAAATTCTCTTTTCAAAGGTTATCAAAAGACTTACTTATGTAAATAATCCTTAAAACTACCTACGTTCAAATAGTGTCTACTTTTATATAATTTCCCTATTTAGAGACATTCTTAAGACTTCCCTAGATAAGACGTAAGTGACCATTCCTATGCCCACTTCATATCTTAAATAAGCAACCCTTAAACTATTCTTAGTACTTAGTCATTAATCTACTTTCCAACTTAAGTCATCATCTTTATCAGTTCAGTATGAGACATTCATCACATAAGGACATTCTGGTTATGGTCTTGGAAGACCTAGGTCCCTCACACACTAATATCTTCAAAGCCTAATCATTCAATGTCTAGTTAGCGTCTCATTCCACTACCTAAAATCCATAGTACTTACTCGACACTAGAATGTATCCCACATGCTGAGAATAGGTAATAACAAAAATAGACCATGGTAGCTAAGCATGGAATCCGAATTCAAGCCTACTCCGATAAAGGGTGTCCTACTTTCCAATGGTAGAACTCTGACACCTCCCATTTAGGCACATGATTAGGAATATGAAGGGTTTCTTTGTTCTCTATTCTCAAGATTCAAATAGAGCAGCTCTCAATCCATATTCACTTGGTGCTAGCCTTTGTTCTCATAGAATATTTTAATAAAAGAGAACATTGAGAGGCTCCATATCTACTTTATAACACAAGCACATTACACCCTACCAAAGAATTCACCTAGTGTTTCCTTAGAATGATTATATCCACCATTCACACGAGAATGATATATGACTTTCAACATCAATATTATCATAACCTTCCAATTAGGTTGAAGGTTCCACATAAAGGACTTTCTTAACAATGTTCAAGGTGATATGTCGATAACACATACAAGAAGAAGAAGGTCTAGCATACTAACTCAACAACTCATATTCACTATGTACATGTATCAAGTAAAGGACATGAGCCTACAAAAATAAGAGAAACACGTACTGCTCATATAACACATTATTCTAGAAGTACATATGGTAAACTAAGTATACTTACTAGTCATCGAACACACTTCAATAGAATCATCACATAAGTTGTCACATGTATAACATATTCTATAAAGAAACATCATAATTAAACATCAAGTAATCCTTATAATGACTATAACATTGTCTACTAGGCACAGACATCATTAACTAGATGCACTCATGCTTCGAATCCACATAAACACATAAGTCATCTTGACGTTCATAATATAAACCTAATAAAATTATAATATGATAAAGCCATAATACATAAAGTTATGCCGACGAGGCCACATCATTCACAATTCATAAAGTAATGTCCACAAGGAGACATTAGTCATAAGTATAGCACATAAGTACCAACACCATAACTGGACCATACCGAGCATTATCATCATCTAAGAAATAGACTACACAATATAGAGAAACTTTGTTCAACATAGCATTAATACATAATAAATTTACCCATAAAGTAGTAAAATCTAGAATATCATGGTTTGCATGGGTTCATAGAGTTTTTAGATTAAGATCATCAAATTAACATCAATTTAATCATATTACAAAGTTCTAAAACAATTAATGCAAGAACCCATGGATAGATTTTGAAATTGTACAATTAATGTTGTTGATCATCTATGAAAATCATTGGAATTGACTCCTTGAAGAAAGAGATTTTAATGATAAAGAACTATATATTGATCCCAGAAAATTGGTGGAGAAAACATGATAAAATCAGTCTTCTTTCTTGGAGCATCAAACATTCATCGATGGAGGTTTTTGGAGAGAAGAATGGAGAAATTTAGTTTTGAGTTGAGGGTTTAGCTTTGATTGGTGAGTTTAGGGGTATAAAATGACTCAATAACCATCAATAAATTATCCCATACTTACCCAAAATAACCCTTCACTTATTAAACAACTTAACCAACTCAAATTCGACTTAAAAACAACGAAACCAAATTTGGGAGTTTAATGCGCGTCGCGGTGGTAATTCCAAATCTTGGATCTAGAAAATTATGAGACAGAATGGTTCATGTAATCCCCACATCAGAGGGAAATAATTTCACTCACTCAGTAGCAGCTGCAAGACGCGCAACCACTGCCAAATCTTTGCTTGCGCTGCATTTACATTCCCATGTTTGGGTCCTGTTTGGGGACCCTTAGGCTTTTCCAGGGGGCATCGTTCTTGAACGTTTCGACCCTTTTATAGAAAGATATGTGTAGGAACCATCGATACTCAATTTCACCTTCAAACCATCTCAAAAAACTTCACTACAAAACACAATTAGACACTAGTTTAACTTCAACTAGTTTCCGACCGCCTTGAATGTTTGACCTCTAAATTCTTCCAAACTTTACGTACTATCTATAAAACCTATTATTATTAATTTTAGGACAGTAAAAATCATTACACACATGTTAGGCTCTAGTTTCAACTAGATCATTTTTAGAGGAGTTACACATGGAATCCGGTGTAAACCACTCAGACTGAAAAGAGGGCACCATACTTGCAAAGGTAAGACATTAACATAATCATAGAGTCTAGGTTGACCAAATTGATATGTTCCTTTGGGGTCACATTTTTAAAGAACTAAGATGTTTCTACTATAAATCGTTTTAATGTTAATTAACATTGGAGTATCAACCTCATCAGAACAATGTCATTTTTAAACATTATAGTATAAGATAGACTTAGGAGACTAGCTCGTTATATAACATATATATAGGTCATAGGATAATGACAAGAATCTACTTTCATCAAAACATACTTCATGTGAGAATATCTTTTAACAGAATCTTAACAAATTCTAGTATAGACTGCAATTAAGGAAACCATCCATTAGACTCCTATTACTAGATTATCATTAACATGCTTAATTCATACATTCATGTGTGTATGTGTACATATATGTGGAAACCTTTTACATAAACACATTGAGACACCGCTTGATCATACTTCACTAGTCATATACTTTACATCATCATAATATTAATAATATACACAGTCCCTCATAATCATACACTTATTATCATCTCCTGTACATAATTTCCATAGCCAAATCATGAATTTAGACTTAAATATATACATAAAGCACCCTAGGAATTATTCCCTCAAGGTTCACGTAGGTAAGGTACAATTCCCTTAGCTACACTAGTGCACCTCTCAAATAATCCTAGTTAACATGCATCTTATTCCTTTCATCTATTCAATTGACATCATGATCATATTACAATTTTATTTATGCATGAGATGTGTGTGCATACATATTGGTCATTATGATCACCTAATAACACCAACATTAATATGGAGTAAACAATGCTTAAAAGGATCACAACACATACAAAATCCCTTAAGTCATGAAAAACTCACATATACATCATTTAGGGATGATAGACCTACACTCTATGTTACATCATAGGAAACCAGAACATATTCAACATTTGAATAGATGACTCATAACATGAATAAGGTCATACATTCATATTGGGTTCCATAGGTAGAGGGTCACTTTACAAGAGTATTCCTCAATCTTAATTATGTAGGACATGCCTAACCCTAACAACATCATTCACACGTACTTAACTTTATCAATACACCCAAATCATCATACTAGAATTGAAGACTACATAAGACCTTCACACGTGTGATCATCATCACTACAATCCACATTAAATCTATTGACTTCAAGTCCATGATCACAACATTCATAAATAGAAAATAATGTAAACATCGTCATCATAAGTTCACCGTAGAATATAACAATAATTACAAGACTATATTAAAAATTTAGGTCAACTGAAAAATTCTCAAAGATATGATAACCATAAAACGATTATCAAAATTCCTAATCAATTGATATGCATAGAAATACAATTAAACAATACAGTATTATCTAATAACTACTAAATCATCATCTAATTAACATCACAACAGCCACATTATATCATAAATTGATAAACTAAAGAGATCATAGGTTATTCAAGAAATTTCATTGAAAATCATCATATAATAGTAATTAAACATTTATTAATCATTAGAGTGACTTAGAAAATCGTTTGACGATGAACCCATAGCTAGACAGAAATATAGGAATTTTCACCTTAGAAACACATTAGAAAACCTGTGATTGAGCTCCTTAGAAGCAATGTAACTAAGTATCAAGGGTTAACATAACTTCATAGAAGAAAAGCCCAGAAAATTAGGAGATGAAATCCATTGAAAATTTATCTTCAAGATTGAGCTTGAGTTCGGCCTCCAATGGAGGTTTGAGATAATATTGGAAGAGAAAATAGTTCTGGATTTTTGATTTCTTATTGGGTATTGGCATTTTTCCTTGAAAATGGAAAAATATGACATAAAAATCGTGTATTTCTAAATTGCAAAATCTGAAAACATCCCCATAATTATATGGACATTTTGACATGTCAAACTTGACTTTAAAACGACATAACTGAATCTGGGACATGGCTGCTCGTTTTGGAGGAAACTCTAAATTTTACTTCACGAATTATTTGAGGCAATGAACCTTGTAACTCAATCGCGACTCTGAGGAACGTTGAGTGATAGGCGCGTGATGCGGAGTGGACTCCAGATCTAAATTATGCACGGTGCCTTGGAAACATCTTGGCAACGCTTTGGGTCATCTTCTAGGACCCTTAAGGTGGTCCTCAAGGAATCATACCCAAATATGTTTTACCTTAACATGTTTATTATGACACTAGGGTAACCTTTAATTTTTTGAGACTCCAAATAACACATAAAAACAAGTCAAATATATAAGAAAAAACTAGAACACAAATGACTAGTTTCCGGACATCTTGGTCGTCCATGAACATTTGACCTAATCCTATTAAACCAATTATTACGAGTTGTAATACACCTTATTCACAAGTTATTAACTGACAAAATTCATGTGAGTCTCTAGTTTATCCTAGATCATTTTGAGGGTCATGACAAGAAATGTCTGGTGCGAGGGATCTTTCATGCACCAAATCCTATCCACTCCATCACACTTTATAAGCAGGACCACAGGTCGTGGCCTCATTATAAATACCCGAGAGCACCACCAATTCTAAACATGTGTACTCGACCTCTCGGAGGTCTTATAAAAGCAATCAGGATTCATCAATGCACCTATTATAGAACAATAGTGGAAAATTTAAAATTTTTTACTTTGGAATATCTACATAGTTCATAAATGAGAGTAAAATCTATACTTGTCTCACAATAGAATCTAGACATAAGAATTTAAAAATTTAGATTAGACCATACATCAAATAGAAAGTCTAGAATAGGAAATACAACATATTCGCACAATAGACAAAGGAACTAAAGATAGAATCTTTGGTGTAGTGTCCTAGGACATGACGCGTCACAAACTTTGAGGAAACAAGTCCAAGTATCTTGAAAAATGGCCTCGAATCACCTCATTGGGAAAAACCTACATTTTTTTTCAAAAAACGATGAATATATAGGTTATTAAAACACACGTACTTAGTATGCTTACTATGAATACCACCTATTGAAAAATGCGTTGAATGTTATTTTAGTTACGAACATGTTTATTTATCAATTAATCCCAACATGCACATAAATTAAATATAATAAGCCAACCCAACATAACAACATCCAAACATGTGTACAACTCAAGCAACACTAGTGCAATGGAAAGGATAAAATCCCATAACCTTATCAAAGCTAAGTATCACCTTGAACAACCCATTTTATACGTACATTCAAAATATCATATTTCATCATAACTTTCCATATTCAAAAAATAATACATAGATTACCATAAATAAGTCATAACAACCAGAGTCTGAAGAGAACACCTACTACGACCTTTTCTTAGGATCCAACAAGTGCAATGTGTAAGAGAAGTTGCATACCTCCCTTTCACTGTGTAGAGCTTTTTAATAAAAAACTAGTACGAGCTCATACATTTCATCCATTTACTTTTACATTATAGGAAGGTTTCAATGACTAAAACAGACCACATGATCCACATGGAATCCGGTGTTCTACTCCCACCCCGATAAAAGAGGGTAAACACTTGCCTAAGCTGTAACCTTTCCTACATAGCTATCTAGGTGGATCCACTAAGCTAGAGTTCTATATGGGCACATAATAAAGGGACAAAGAGATTTTTACTAGAAATCCTTACTTTCTATATGTGGGTTTTACATCTCATGAGTTAACACGTATCTTAGGGAATCGAGACATGCTATACGTTAGGAAACCCATGTGGAGATTTGGACTTACTAAATGTGAGACCCCCACATACTTCACATGACCTTTAAGTGCAATGAATCTATTTACTTTTGTAATAGTTTTTACTCACACATTAGTTCACTTTAAACTTAGTAGACTCATATGTAAATATGTTACCATAATAGCTAAAAGGTATTCACAAGTCAGAACAATCCTTTCACTTAAGAAACACTAGCAAGTGATTAAACCTTTCACTTTAACAATTCATTCTAATCGTGAGAACTACCTATCAATCATATAATAATAATATAATAACATGCATGCATACTTCATAGATAATTCAAGTGTAAGGGGTTAAGGATGAGGAAACCATGTCATCAATATCACAACAAAACAATAGATATGGCATCATTACTATCTATGGTATTCATCTTTCATAGATGAGTTCAATTAAGATCTAACATCTATACATTTTTGCCCTTCATGAAATTTCATACTTCAATCACACAACAATGCATAATTAATACATAAAATAACATAAACTTATGATGTAACAACATAGCTAACATCAATATAACCAATTGATATATTCATCTTCTTCAACCTATTACCATATCAAATCCATGAATTATGATATTTGAGAATAACATAGTTACAACCCGAGGGTATGCCATAGAAGTTACGGTATTCTCGAATCTTAACACATCGTCTTCGACCCTCCCAAAGGTATAAGACAAGCCCTTACACATGTTTCATTGAATAATTTTAAAAATAGCGGAAAATTTAAAACTTTTCATAGCACATCATATGCTAGACAATTAGATCATATATATAAAGTATCATAATACATTGTTAGACTATAATGTCTCCTTGCCATATTAAGACACACCTCAATAGAATAGAATTGAAACACGACCCATCACAACATAAAATAACATCTAAGCTATTATATGATTTGAATAAGAACTTGACATAGGGAAATCCTTGATTTATAAGGATCCTTATTCTTGAACTTGGGAGATCTATCCAAGCTCTTCACTTAGGAGACATCTTCTAGAAATCACCACCTGCACTTGGTGCAAAAAGAAAGAGAAGATTGATATTATAACAACAATCCACTAAGTATAACAACCATGCAGAAACATCCATTTTTAAGAGGACATTTCATTTGAAATCACGCAACATGTCTTTTTAATAAACTTTATAAACATAGGCACATATAATATCAGTATAATTCACATACATAATATATACATGCATAATACCCATAATCACACATAAATCCACTTAGAATACTTTAAAGCATATTGAATACATACAATACAATACCTATATTTTTATCTTACTTCTTTACTTAAGTAACCCTCAAGTGTAATTAGGACAATGTATCACCTTGAGGTCAGCTTACAATAGTATTTCATAATTTACTTCATAGCACGACCACATTTACTCACAATTCATATGCACATCAACGACATCAACCTCACATAAGGACCATCACCTAAGACAACTCTTAAGTTATACTAGTGCAATGTGTAGATAGCATCTCATAATACTAGTTCCACTAAGTGCACCTAAGAATTCACCCTAGACTAGGCATAACATATTTAACGTCATAATATATTCAACAAGCATAACATATTAAACAAGTCATCACATATTCATTTACAACTAGCAATAAGGACACATACTTCATGTCATCATAAAAGGACTCTTTCATCTACTACTACCTTAGTAATAACTCATTTAGTTCATATCATAGGTTAACCACCCTTATCACCCCTTCACAAGCTTAATTGTCCAATTGACACATGGTGTCCCATACCCCAACATATACTAAGTAAACTCATTTAGAAGCCATAAGTGTAATTCACATGCATAGTCATAATTCATATCATATCATAACAAGGTCAGTTAACATGCATCCATACAAGTCGTGCATAACACAAGTCGTTAGTTCATAAGGGTCTCCAATCCTATCCTTATTGAATTCATCTAGTGCAATTTATAGATAAGGTCTATAGTCCTCCCATAACAAGTGCACTTCTTATGGAATTTAGATTAGAGGTCATATTCATATATTAGTTAATTATTAACCTTCAAGATACATACTCCCTCATATATCATATCGCTCAAAGGTATCTAGGGTGAGAATTCTACATTCACCATATAACCAACATTATGTGAGAATGTCCTTTCATATAATCATATCATATTCATACATTCATGTGTGTGTGTACATATATGTTAGATCTACCTTCACATAAACACATTTAGGAACACAGGCTCATAACTTCATAAATCATGTACTTTACATGCATATAAATAGATAATGATGCATGGGAGAACTATCCTTCCCTTATTTATACTACTCATAGATATGCATGAAGTGTGTGTGCATATTGGTCAACATGATCACATAATGGCTATCATATACTGGATTGAGGAAGCCACCCTCTAAAGACCACAACATATGTACAACATTCTTTAAGACTCAAGTCATACAAACATATAGAATATTGAGGACTATAGAATACATACACTAACATAACCTCATAAAAGGCAAGTACATATTCAACTAGAGAATATAAGACTCCTAGTATACTTTTATCACACATTCATATAAGGTTCATATGGGTAAGGGTCAGGTTATAAGGATATTCTTCATCATTAGCCATATAGAACATACCTAACCTTAACATGATTATCGCACATATACATTTAACATCATCTCCACATCTAGGTTAATTAACTAGTGTAGAAGACTATACACCTAACATCACTAAACATGAATTCACGTAGATCTAATATTAGAATCAAGCCTTAATCCTTAAACCTCCTAAAATAGAAATCATAATATCAACTTATAATGCATCTAATATCTTCAAGCCCATGATTATAACACATAAACATGTACAAAATTTGTAAACACTTTCATCATAAGTGGACCAAAACAATCAACACAATTCAATATACATTCTAACCTAATTAGAAGAAACATGTAAAATCACCAAATTTCGAAGCTAATAATCATCTTTGATCATTTATAAACAATTCATATTCAATTGTTAAAGAAAGTTATAGTAACAATCAATTCAATACATTCTAATCACAATTCAATCAACAACAAAATCAAGATCACAAGACCCACATCATTGGCTAATTTGATAATTTAGGAGAATCATGGGTTCTTCATAAAATTGGATAGAAATTCATCATAAAATCAGTAGATAAACATATATTCATAATTATAATGCTTTTGAAATCAGTTTTAGAATGAACCCATGGCTTGATTCAATATAGGATTTTTGACTTAGGATTCATGTTTTGAAAATCTTTTAAAGGAATCCATAGATGAATGGTTATCTATCGATGAAGGATCGCCATACCTTTTTCATTTAAAAGCCCATCAAAATCTGAGAAGAAGGCTCCAAGAATCCAACTCATTAGTTTTTTTTCGAACTTGGTCTTAAATGGAGGTTTTGGGGTTATTTGAAGAGAAAAGAACTTTGTGAATTTTATTTCTTAATGAGTGTTGGAGTTTTAGC